TTGTTGTATCTGTTTTGAGCGCGAGGGCAAGGTTGTTAAGCGTGATATCACGATCTGGATGCCCAGGTGGCGCAATGTCAGTGCCTCGCGAAGAGGCTGATAGCTCGGGTGATGTCATCAATGTCGCCGCGTTTGTTGAAACGGCTGATGAGGGCGCCCTAGGTTGTCCAATGAGGTATCACGATATTGGTGCCCAACAGGGCACAGGCGCAGCCTTCTTCATACAAAGAGATGGCCTCATCGAGGTCATTAGGTTTGCCTTGGTGATCGAAGCGGTATGTGAGCGAGAAGGCCAAGTTGTGCAGGTAGTAAGCACGGTCAGTATGTCCCTCGGGGCATAGAGACGCGGCCTCACGACCAAGTTGTATGCTCATCAAGATCATCAATACTGCCGTGTTGTCGAAAGTGTGATCTGAGAACCCACGCAAGCTTGTAAAGTGCTCTGGGACGGTGTTGATGGCCCAGAGGACAGAGCTCGACGACCACTCGTCGAAGGTGGATGCCTTCATCAGATGTGTCTATCGGAAGATTGTTGCATCTGTTGATCACATAATCGACACCATTTGCCCCTGCGATGCTACGAAGGTGGTGCCCTCTGGACAGAGAGGCAGTAGCTCATGATAGAGTTTGGCGGATTCGCAAATCGCGGCAGCAGTACTTTTCTTGTTGTGGCGCCAAGTCAGCGCTTCGGTGAGATTATATAGAGATAATGGATGATCCGGATGGCACTGCGGACGCAATGCAAGGACCTCGCGGAACAGCGAAGTGGGGGTATCAATATCTTCAAATCGTGCGAATATACCCCTGAAGGCGCGCATACGCAAGGTTGGTGAGGGCTGCTGCGTGGTCGGGATGGCTGACGGGACACTGGTCTAGAACCAACTGAAAATGCTGCACCGCATCGTTCAGGTGAGAGACCGTCTTGCTCGTGATGTATGCGGCAAATTGTGCGTGGCCCGCATCTGTGTCTCGAGCGATCTCGCAGTTTACGAGGGACTACGATTGGCATTCCGTCAGCAAAGCCAACAGTAGAGACCAGCGTCACTTACATCAGACAGCGCGCCCTCCTGACCGTCGCAAGTATGTACAATGGCGGCCTTCGGCGTGAGGGAGGGATGGACACCACAAACGGGTGGGAAGGACAAAACTACGAGATGTTAGTATATGTGCATGGATGAGGAACACATCACTCACCAAAAGGTTCATATCCATGACTGAGTAGCTTATTCCACGACGTTTGAAGTTTCCCAATGACCTCTCCACTGCCTAGCATTCGACCGGCCTCGTAGGATGCCCAGATCTCTATTGATAATGCAGGTGAGGTATGGGATGATCTATAAACCGAAGATCAGCTCTCGCATCGTATCGGAAAGTCTTGGACTTTACAGAGTCACAGTGTCGCCCCACACTGCAGATTGGTCAGATGATAAGACACTGATGGCCGATTTCCAGCGTCTCTGGGAATTGACATTGATGGATATGTAAATGCCTGCGGGAATGCGCTCGGAGGGGACTTGAAGAATTTTTCCGCTGATGACTGTAGATAGATCGTGAGGATCATGAAACAAATACGAAGGCAGTATGGAGTGACCTACTTTCAAGTCTAATATATCGGCTTCCAAAGTCACTACGCGTGATGGTGGGACGAGACAGACGACAAACGACACGCAGCATCGGAAATTGAGAGGGGTTCAGGATGAGTAGTAGGAAAAGACGGAGGCGGGTGGAATGACTGGGACTGTAGATGAAGTTCGGCTGAGGGAGAGGAGAAGAGGTTGAGGGTTCAGGCTATACTACACGTGTATTTCCATGTTGTTGATCGCAGTTCGGCACGATATGGGCTGGTATGATTCCACTTAGCGCTGAAAATGGAGATCACTCAGTTGGATTAGCGGAAGAATCTGTGCTAGAGAAGTATAGACAAAGTCGTGATCAGTCTTCAGCGAAAGTGGCCTGCAGAAGTTGAAGGGGATATGTCAGTCTCAGAGTGCCTTGTGATGGTTGCTGGTCCTGGACTTGTGTCATGGTGTCGTACCACTCATTTAGCACACTTTGAAAGCAAAATGTAGAATCGAGTGTATTTTGTAAGCTAATGGACAAAAAAAATATACAAACTGCTGAAAACGGAGCGCACAGAAGAGTCGAACGATTCCGTACGACTCATTCAATTGAGCTGACATGGTGGAGGAGGATTGAGCGCGAGAATGTTGTAGAAACACCAAGGGAGAACATGAAAGTCGGATTCATGGATGTGAAGACGAAAAGAGTGACACTGAACAAGGACCAAGTCTTGAGAATACCTGGTCAGCCCAATGTCCACTCGTGTCTGCCCGTTGAACAAGCCTTTGAATGCTCCCCTCCAAGTTGTTCCCACGACTGCCAGCGCGAAAACCAAACAAGTCCAAATCCTTGACTCGAGTCAAACGCCTCCACCGCCAGATATCGATGCATACCAAACCCACCTCCATTAGCACCAACAGGGACACCGGCTAATTTCTTGGATGGCGTGGTCGGGAAAAAGGTCATGTCCGTCTTACATCGGGCATCGATTATCGAGGTATCCTTTCCTTTGCCTTCTATGAATCTAGAGCCGAGTTTACGTGTGTAGGCATTCTCTCGTCTAGATGGATATATGAACATTGCGCTGGAGCAGACGGAGAAGCATATTGATGGTGCAGTCATAAGTAAATACGAGGACGTGTTCATTTGCTGGAATAATGGTAAGCCGTCCGTGAATGTATGGCTGGATATGTTCTGATGCGTCCTCCTGTGCTACTGTTGTACATATCTACTGCAGATCCACTATAATCACAACGTTGAACTGTACGAGCATCGTCAAAGTCTACGGGAGTAATGTGTGACTGCATTCTCCTGCTCTCGGCCTTTGATTTTTGTACATCCTTCGATGAAGGATCTATCGGCGGACCTGCGCAGTGCCCATCTCATCATCGTTATTCTGGATAGGTGAGGTTTGTATTGAGATCCTACATTTATGGCTCCCCTGCTGTCAAGACATTTAAATTTTAAATTCTTTTTCTCGCCACATACAACCTTCATCTCAGGACAGTAGCACCAATCTATGCGGATGGTACCTTGCTCCTCGAATTCTCTTTTCCGAGACTATGGGAAATACGGAATTATCTGCAGTCACTTTGAGTTCGGGTGAGGGTTAGTTTATACACTGGGGTAAGGTATATTTGAGACGTGCACCCGTGGCTAGACAACACTACATACAAGGCGAGTAGTTGTGTAGAGCGTGCACCCATCCCTTCTGCATGGTCTCAAACCCTCGATGCCGCCTCCATGGTACGTCCTTTACAAACACTCCAAAAATGCTCCCATCCGTGACAACCTCTCTTGCTCTAGCCAGCACCATCGTGTCCAGCACCGATATCACAAACCCCTCTAACGGGACCCAGTCATACAGATTGATCAATTCGTCGAGGGAAGTCAGGCGGGATCTGAAGTCGGAAAGGAAGAATATACACGGGAAGGTTTGGAGGTAAATCGAAAGCGGTGGGTCGGCTGCAGGATTTGCGGAGTGGGTAGCGATGTAAAGAGGAGCATTTAGTCTTTGCAACGGTGGAGAGGTAAGCAGAGGTGCATGTCATCGGATCCTGGGTTCGAACGTACGTGGAAGAGAAGGCAAAGATGGATGAGGCACCCCGAGACTCGGTACATCCAGTTGAATAAGCAGCGGATCGGGGTTCTCGTCGAAAGGACTGAGCTGCTGTTCAGTACCAGAGTCTCTTCAAGATATAGTTCACAAACAAGGTGCACGAGTTTCCACTAGATTGTTCTTGCATTGTCAGACCTTTGTTGTTTGAACTGACCGTCCCCGACGCGAAGATGCGCACTGATGTAGACAGCACCTAACGTTCCATGTATCATATCTGCCACGACTCACGAGACAGGCGTGGATTCATAAATGCCATTCCGCCCCTTACATCTCTGCGCACGCTCTTACTCACACCCTGTTTCAGCCTAAGCCTCCACGATCCAAACAACGTTCTAATCTGCATCAATCTCTCGAGTGCCTGAACAAGTGCCAGGATGTGAATGGAATAGAGATACTTGTCCCGCATAGGCAATACATCATCAAACTTGTCCAAGAACCAAACATCGTAAAGGCCCGAGTCTTGCGGCGTCAGTGTCTGCTTCAAATATTTTTATGAGATTTTCTCATATATTGTGCAACTGGGCTTCCGCATGTTCTCCCCTGGTGTTTCTACAGTACTGCTTATCGACAGCGTTGGGTATAAGCAGCCCCTGTTCAGTGGGTTGGTGGATGAGCTTTGCTTCTGTCTAGATATTTGTTGCGATGCGGCGCTTACTGAGGTGTGGTGCAGGAGTTAAAGAACATGGGCGCTTGAAGGTCCGGGTCGAGTCCGCAACAGTCGTGAACATTAATATTCGAATACACCGTGAAGTCGTCGAGCAACGAGAGTAGACAAAAACGAAAGCCAAAACAAGATAGCATGTAAGTACGTGATAGACGAATGTAACAGGCTAAGTCAGTAGCAACAACTTGAAGTACATTGGGGACGAAAAAGAACGCGATACAAAGAACACGTGAAACCGTATCAGATGAAGCAATATAGCAGGAACTATACACCGATATGAACGAAAACCATCCTCTGCTCAAGCGGGACTTTCGTCTTCACAGCGTGCGTAGCACGGTTGAGTGCCCAGGCCGCCTTCGTACAGTCCATGACGCCACCCTCCTCTAAACCATCGAACAAATTCTCGTAGAATGCTTTGACGACGTGCTTTGCGACAGAATCATCGACCTCCCACAGCGTGCCAATGACGCTCTTGAACCCTGAAAATTGGAGACCAGCTGCGAGGTGAATCACTTCGTCGGGCGTCTCCTTATCGCCAACAGCAGTGTGACAAGCGGATAAGAACGCGAACTCGGCGTGTGGAATATGTTTCTCCATGATATCGAGCAGCGTCAGATGTTCGTCTCTCATGACGAAGTGGGAATTGTAAGGCTGCGTAGGGTCCTGCTTGCCATGGCAAGCGAGGTGCACCCAGGTGTTCTCTTCCAAAGCTTTGAGTGCACCTGCTCGTGTGGCTGCGTCACCGGAAATAGTGGTACGGTTGGCCGTTGCAGGGACGAGCTTATGGACAAGCTCGAGCTCGCTGTCGACAGCCAAGAGCGCCTTGCCTTTCCCCGTGCCCGGTTGACCCTGTCCAATTGTCACGAAGGATGGAGTGATGCGCTTCTTCATCATCTGTCTAGATCTAACCAGGGCCGAAAGTGTCGGTGTGTAAGAGCAGATATAGAGATCCTCCAGGCATGGCTCTTTAGAGCGATCTGCCCTTGTTTGAAAGGGGTGAGCTGCATGGAGAGGAATAGACGTGAAAGCTGCAGTTGGACACAGCCAGATTCGGGAGCCATGCTTTAGCTCAAGGACATGTTCGAGTACGTTTACGATGGGTAGCATGATCTCTTCCCATACTGTCCTCAAGAGGACTATCAGATCGTTCCGAGGCAACTTTGGACCCATGATGGATGCGTGTCGTATGGCCCTGGCGAAGCGATCCTTGAGATTGTTCAGATCAGTGAGAGTGACAGACGGCAAGGGTAGATGATGGGGCTCCCCCAATGTCGGAACGATGATGGCGCTGCACGAATATTGACTGGCAATGAAGATGATGACAGGGCCCTGGCGTGCTGCCGCTTGCAAGTCTTCGTATGAAGGCGGGAGCAGGAAGCGCGAGAATGCTTTAAGATCACGGATTTCAGTCACTGCAGCGTCCCATTGCCTTGTGAGTATTCTATATTCTGTTGCAGCCCGATCAGCCGCAGCTGGGTTAGCGTTGCCTGCAGAACCCTGAGCATGAGATAGGCGCATGTTGAGCCCCAAGAGCTTTTCAGCTAGTTGCGGACTCGCAGACGTCAGGTCTTCCAGTGGAGTCCTGAGTCGAGAGGCCAGCGACCACTGCTGGCCACGGCCCTGCTCCACAAGTTCAACTGCCTGTCGTAGATTGTGACGACGTATGGCACATGAGGCCGCATCTACAGGGAGTGATTGTGCACCACGAAAAGCGGTTGCAGCCTCGCGCCGTGAGATGATCGACGATCGCGTCATCACGTGGCTGTCGAAAAGCTCGAAGCACATCTGGTATGCTTCGAGGGAAGAGTCGTGTTGATGATTCTCGGCTTCAGTAACCCAGTGCAAGGCAGTTTGAATGCGATTTGGAAAGCCTTGAGTAGGGTGCACCGAAGCGAGTCTAAAGTTCTCTATAGCGCGCGACAAATCAGCAGGGTTGCGTAGAACCCGGTAACGAACTAAATAGGCTGCCTTCAGCCATCTGTAGCTGAACCATCTGCCTGGGTGCAGTGAAGACAGAGCCACCAGTGACTCTCGGCAGAGATTAATCGCCTCCTCGATATCTTCATTCTCCCGAGTTTGCGTGAAACGAGAGCAGAGCGACGCGCTCAAATTGACAAGACTTGAATTGCGCTCGGGATGGTCACGCCGCTTTAACCGAAGGGATTCGCGATACAGATCAATGGCCTCGTTAAGATCCTCAATGACATCCAATTTCCTGTATCTGGTGTCGAGCGCGAGGGCAAGGTTGTTAAGCGTGATATCACGACGTGGATGCCCAGGTGGGCACAATGTCAGTGCCTCGCGAAAGAGGCTGATAGCTCGGGTGATGTCTTCAATGTCGCCGCGTTTGTTGAAACGGCTGATGAGGGCGAGCCCTAGGTTGTCCAATGGGGTATCACGATATTGGTGCCCAACAGGGTGCAGGCGCAGCCCTTCTTCATACAAAGAGATGGCCTCATCGAGGTCATTAGGTTTGCCTTGGTCATTGAAGCGGTATGTGAGCGAGAGGGCCAAGTTGTTCAGGTAGCAAGCACGGTCAGCATGTCCCTCGGGGCATAGAGACACGGCCTCACGACGAAGTTGTATGCTCGTATCAAGATCATCAATACTGCCGTGTTGTTGAAAACGCAATGCGAGAATTCGCGCAAGGTTGTCAAGTGCTCTGGGACGGTGCTGATGGCCCAGAGGACAGAGCTCGACGACCACTCGTCGAAGGTGGATGCCTTCATCAGATGTGTCTATCGGAAGTTTGTTGCATTCGTCAGTGAGGATTGCGAAATGGATGCAAATGTGATATGGAGCAACCCACCTTCAAGTCTGATATATTGGCTTGCAAAGCCTCTACGCATGATGGTGAGACGAAACAGACGACGAACGACACGCAGCATCGGAAATTGAGAGGGGTTCAGGATGAGTGGTAGGAAAAGACGGAGGCGGGTGGAATGACTGGGACTGTAGATGAAGTTCGGCTGAGGGAGAGGAGAAGAGGTTGAGGGTTCAGGCTATACTACACGTGTATTTCCATGTTGTTGATCGCAGTTCGGCACGATAGGCGCTGGTATGATTCCACTTAGCGCTGAAAATGGAGATCACTCAGTTGGATTAGCGGAAGAATCTGTGCTAGAGAAGTGTAGACAAAGTCATGATCAGTCTTCAGCGAAAGTGGCCTCAGAAGTTGAAGGGGATATGTCAGTCTCAGAGTGCCTTGTGATGGTTGCTGGTCCTGGACTTGTGTCATGGTGTCGTACCACTCATTTAGCACACTTTGAAAGCAAAATGTAGAATCGAGTGTATTTTGTAAGCTAATGGACAAAAAAAATATACAAACTGCTGAAAACGGAGCGCACAGAAAAGTCGAACGATTCGACTCATTCAATTGAGCTGACATGGTGGAGGAGGATTGAGCGTGACAATGTTGTAGACACACCAAGGCAAAACGGGTGACACTGAACAAGGACCAAGTCTTGAGAATACCTGGTCAGCCCAATCACTGCGTTTTGAAGGTATCTGATGCCATGTGGCGAGCGGTAGCTACTTATAGTAACCACAGTTCCGCACACCACGTGGGGACTCTGAGTCATCCTTGAGGCGTTGACCTGTGCACAGACCACCTTCATCCCAGCAACGTCTACGACGGTCTACGGCACTGACGACACACGTACACACACGTACACGACACACGGTCACCTTGGGGAGCCTCTGGGGAGAAGCAGCCATCATGAGTTCACGCATTCCGTGGCAACCTGATCTCGGCGTCTAGGTGGTACCTAGATGCGCAATACACGTCAGTGCTGGAGCTTCCTCGTCCCCCCTCAGTAGTCTTAGCTGCAGCATCCCCTCACTGGTTTTGGAAAATTATCCTGCTGCTCATTGCATGGCTAAATCTTCACTATCATCTGCCGCATCTTGCATGTACTCTTATTCTCAAGATCACGAGACATATCCTTGTTGGCCTTACTGTACTCACACCTGATGAGAAGGTGGCTGGGTCGCTCAATACCATATTCAACCACCTTGACATCAAGGATAACTTTGATATTCACCCAGTTTGCCTGGTTTGCCACCATGTTTATCCTCACGATTCTCAAGGTGATGCAAAATGTTTGAATTGCTCTGAACCTTTATTTGAGCCCATCACATCAAGAACCAAACCATGGCCACGTCTACAGTGTCCACAGAGTCCACTCTTGAATGTGATCCTTTGTCTTTTCTCTTGTGCAGGAATTGAGGAGGAACTTGATGCTTGGTGCTGCCATGTTCCAGAACCTGGGAAGCGTGCTTCAATTCAAGATGGTGAGATATGGAAAACCATCAAGGGAAATGATGGCGAGCTCTTCTTCGACAATAGTCCAGAATGTCCTGACAAAGATGAGCTTCACATTGGTATCATGCTAGGATTTGATGGGTATTGTTCCTCTTTAGTGACACTATACTCTCTGCTAATTGATAATCTTAGATTTGGTTATCAGCGCAGTCGTAATGCAGGAATGCACAGCTCGGGCATCCTGTCAAATTGTATTGTGAACTTGCCAACACATTTGTGGTATGTACTTGCTACAGTTAATGTTCACTTCCTGACTTTGAACACTCGTCTAGATACTGACCATGAAATCTGATGGTCTTTGGTATCACACCAGGGCCAAAAGAGTTTGATAGTGATGAGTTGCAATTTTTCATGAAAAACTATGTCAACAACTTAATCTCACTCTATGAAAATGGAATCATGGTCAAGACGCCAAATTATCCCAATGGTATGTCATCAAGTACTTCTCTAAGTTGCTTCAAATAACACCATGTGTCTGCAGGCCGCTGAGTTCATATGATCCTGGTTGCTGTCTGTTGTGACCACCCTGCGCTCTGTAAAGTCTGCGGGTTTGGAGGTCATTGCAAGGAAGAGGGATTTTGCACTCGGTGCCACATTAAACGCAGCGAGTTGAAGACAAGGGATGCAATGGATTATGATAGTATGTCGCCTTTTACTTGTGTGAATACAACTGAATCTATTCAATCAGAATTTCCTCCTCGATATGGGGAGGAGCATACAAAACAAGCCCAGGAGTATCTGGACCTGAATGAGAAGGAACATGAGGCCTTCTTTAAGCTGCATAGTGCACGCTACTTTGAGCTTTCATGCTTGAAGTATTTTGACCCAGTTCACATGTCAGTCATTGACCCAATGCACAGTTTCCTTCTCGGTGAGTCGACCTGCTCCCTATGCTGTCATTACTCATATCCACTGTTAGGTATCATACGTTGTCACTGGTATGATTTGTGGATTCAAACCAACACCATACAAAAGTGGACCAACAAAAACAAATGTGAACTGGATCAGATTCATGATCATCTAATGATGGTATGTGATCAATTCGTTCAAGCTTTTTTCTCATCTGCCCATTTGACCAGTTTGAAATGCCAAACTGGGTTGGATGTTTACCTGAATAAGTGGGCTATCCTGCTGGAGGTTCATTGATGTCAGATGAGTGGAAGGGACTTGCATTAGTCTTCTGTCCTATTGTGGTATGTTAAGCTTATCGTGGCACAATGGGGGCTAGGCTAATTCTAGTTCTGCTACCTGGAAGATACTGTTTCTATGGCAGGAGTGGTACCCAAAGGTCAATGCTACATACAAGAAAGCATTAACGTCCTGGGAGAACAGAGAGAAACAATGACTCATTCATCTCACCGCTGGAAAAGCGAAAAAGGGTGATGATAAACCATCAACAAAGCCCATTCCTCAGATGCATCTGTCAGCTCCTGACAATTTTTTGAAACTTGCTGCAGCCCTCAAAATCATCCTCAGACGTTCCTTCAGAGATGCCGATATTCCATGCACCAAGGAATTGCTCCACAACTACCTTATGGAATATCTCGAGGTGTGCTGAGGTACTCTCTAAGCATGTCCAGTATGATCACACATGGGCTGCTAGCTTTACCCTGATGATGTAAAGCCCACGCATCATTGGGTAACCCATATTTTCAATCAACTACAAGACTACAGACCTGTGTACAACTTTTGGACGTTTCTCTTCGAGCACTTGAACAAAGTCCTCAAGAGTTACTCAATGAATAATCACAGCAATGGCGAGATTGAAGTTACGTTTATGCATGCATTTCAGAAGGATGTTGCATTGCATGATATGGTATGTCATATTTACACATCAAATTTAATCCTTATTCTTCCCTTAGCTCGCAAATCTAAATGCTGCATCTGACATGCAAGAATCATCGACTGAGGATGAGCTGCTGTCAGAAGCTGTCAGAATTATCTTGGCCACTGATGGTGACACATGCAGGACAGTAGCCTCTCTCACTCATGAAATAGATCAAGCCACAGAAGATTGTATGTCATTCCAATGCATATTGTCCTAGATGCTGACCTGATGGGGATCTACTAGTTGATGCATGTTTCTCACTTGGTGCCTCTGCTTTCACAACTCTCTCTCAGCAGCAGCAAGACCACCTGATGAAGTTCTATGAATCCTCATACCCTAATGCAAAAGTTGTCTCACATGCAGCATCAACCAACACAATTGGCCCAAATTTCCTCAATAGCCGTGCTCGAACTTTCATGCACATTGTTGTTGATGGACGTCACATCCTTCCATCTTCCTCACTGAATAATGCATCAAGTTCTCTCATACAAGCTGATATCGGAGGCAGATGTTATGTTGGGCAAGTCATGTCTATAATATCTCATGCGCAGTGTCACATATCACGAGAGATAACCCTTCTCGAGATCAGGTGGCTCAAAGAGAAGCTAAATGTCAACATGAGGGACTGGGTTAAATAGTGAAGTAAACTCATTCATATGTTGGACATTTTTAATTGTCTTGCAGTCCAGAGCTCGAAGTTCAGTTGTGGGAGCATGAAGTCTTCCTTGATCCAACAGTCGATGGTCCTCAACGTTTTATTTTGCCATCCCACCTGATCTCCCAAGTCTGTCAAGCGTCAATCACAAAGAAAAATGATGAAATGGTACAGAAGATGTGGGTAACAATTGGGCTTAGTCGAGTGAGTACTTAGTGTCATTCATCGCACGAGTTCAACACAAATGAATGCAAATATAGGAAGTTTCAATTTTCTAGCATGACACAATGCAGCAGCACAATGCACAGAACAGCAAGAAAGAAGGCAGTGTATCCTACATGTCACCATCATCCATATCATCACCGTGATTTGCTTCTCCACCACTGTATTTGGGAGTTATGCCAGGGCCATGGTTATCTTGTTCTTGAGTGTCCGGCTGATTGTCTATGGGTCCAAAGCCTCTTGGATTGCATGTCTTGATATCGAGGGAAGTGCCAGGATTCTCTTGGTTGAACTTGGCCAGCCAGTCATTGCTGAGCATGAATGGGTACACTGGAATTTCAGGTGCATGGTCTTTAACAGTGCCGATGTTGACATGTTTAGTATGGACTTGTTTGTTCTTCACTTCCTGATGCAGCCTTTGCCTGATCTTGTCAATCTGCTCCACAATGTCATTGAACTAACACCATAAAGTCAGTAACATCAACAACAGCAAGGGTAAGTTTGTCTCTTTGGTCCTACATCCTTGGATCTCCACTCCTGACGAACCACTTCCCACACAACAGCATCTTCTTCGTCACTCCCAATGAAGCCAGCTTTCTGCAACAGGATCTTATGGTGAGCCTTCTTCTCCTCCTCATTATCTGTTTCGAGCTCTGATAACTCTTCAGACATGTACTCAGTCTCCAAGAGAAGTGTCAGATCTGTGCCATATTCTTTGGTGTATGCTTCGATGACTGATGGGTCCACTCGATCCTTGCAAAGCTGTATGTGGTGTGATATAATAGGTTCGCATTCATTTTGGATATACACACCTGCTTATGGTGCTTCTTCCTCTTGTTCACCACCTTCTGTTTCTGACACTTTGCTCATTTAGAAGAGTCCATGACTTTGGCATACTTATGCTTCAAGTTCTGAAACTTGTCTTTGGCAAATGCAACAATGTCTTTCTTTGTGAAGCTGATGTCCTTGTGTCTGAGGGTGCAAGTCTCTGCATCACAATCCTTTCCAAATTCTATATAGTATTTGATGATCATTGAACACTCACATTTTGTTCATTCCAGACAATATTGGCTGCACAATCAATAATCTTTTTGTTGCACATTGCTTGGACTCCTTTGTCACCACCAAATGCAAATTGCAACTTCTCACCCTCTTGCAGATCTTCTCCACCATTGCCCCCATCACTATCATCAGTCTCAATTGTGTCCATGGAAGTCCCTGTGACATCGAAAATTGCAGTATCAAGACATTCCTGCACCACATTTGAAGGTAAGTACGCATATATGTGCCTGCATTTTTGATGAACTCACCTGTAGTTCTTCATGTGTAGTCTTCTCAGCTGCTGAGAGTTCTTGAAGAGGGCGGTTGAGAAGGTACGTCCATATCTTGCCCTTCATCAGCTTCTTCTTCTTCTTCTTCTGATGCATACCTTTATCTGTAGGCTCATCCTCATCATCTGCCTCATCACCATCATCTTTGTGACCACATTTCAGGTGATTAACCTCGTGTTGGAGGTTCTCACATATACTCCACAGTGCCTGTACATCCAACACAGTTTCTAAGTCTGGCTGGATAGCATGTTGGTCACTGGGGGGCAGTGATTGGGGTACATGATTTTGACGGGGCAGATTCTGTTGAGGCTGACCCTGAACAGCCTGCGCTGCAAGAGTGAGTAAAACATCTGGCGCCAAGTTTGCCAGCAAGTTGTGCAATGCAACAGGTGCTGGTGGGGGATCATTTGGACCACCAGACAGGGGTGGATATGGTGGAGGAGGAGGCCCTGCTGGAGGACCTTGCTGTTTCCTGCTGCCATTGATGCGCATTTTTGCTGGGTATATGCGCTGATTCCGCCGGGTATATGTGCTCAATTTGGGGCTCAGGGATCAGGTTGGGGAGAAAAGGTGAACAGATGTGTAGCATACCTGTACTCGACCCATATCAGGATATGTACACACAACGTGGCTACCTGTCCTAATTCATACATATTAAACCACCTCAAATGGCAGTGTGCACACCTTAGTTGACCTCAAGTATACCTATGGTAGCCGTAGTATACACCAGTTTATCTCGCCGTACTGTTTATACCTCGGATACTTATAGGATCCATATCTCTCCTTCGCCGGTATACCTTATGTGATTGTACATGTGTGTACCTATGGTAGACTTTGTACCCACGGGTGTCTCACCCACGTTTCACATAGATCCATAACGCGGTGAATGTCAACTCGTGTCTGCCCGTTGAACAAGCCTTTGGTTAAATGAATGCTTCTCTCCAAGTTGTTCCCACAACTGCCCGCGCCAAAACCAAACAAGTCCAAATCCTTGACTCGAGTCAAACGCCTCCACCGCCAGATATCAATGCATACCAAACCCACCTCCATTAGCACCAACAGGGACACCGGCTAATTTCTTGGATGGCGTAGTCGGGAAAAAGATCATGTCCGTCTTACATCGGGCATCGATTATCAAGGTATCCTTTCCTTTGCCTTCTATGAATCTAGAGCCGAGTTTACGTGTGTAGGCATTCTCTCGTGTCTAGATGGATATATGAACATTGCGCTGGAGCAGACGGAGAAGCATATTGATGGTGCAGTCATAAGTAAATACGAGGACGTGTTCATTTGCTGGAATAATGGTAAGCCGTCCGTGAATGTATGGCTGGATATGTTCTGATGCGTCCTCCTGTGCTACTGTTGTACATATCTACTGCAGATCCACTATAATCACAACGTTGTACTGTACGAGCATCGTCAAAGTCTACGGGAGTGGTGTGTGACTGCATTCCCCTGCTCTCGGCCTTTGATTTTTGTACATTATTCGATGAAGGATCTATTGGCGGACCTGCGCAGTGCCCATCTCATCATCGTTATTCTGGATAGGTGAGGTTTGTATTGAGATCCTACATTTATGGCTCCCCTGCTGTCAAGACATTTAAATTTTAAATTCTTTTTCTCGCCACATACAACCTTCATCTCAGAACAGTAGCGCCAATCTACGCAGAGGGTACCTTGCTCCTCGAGATATCTTTTCCGAGACTATGGGAAATATGGAATTATCTGCAGTCACTTTGAGTTCGGGTGAGGGATAGTTTGTACACTGAGGTAAGGTATATTTGAGACGTGCACCCGTGGCTAGACAACGCTACGTACAAGGCGAGTAGTTGTATGCGACATGTACCCATCCCTTCTGCACGATCTCAAACCCCCAATACTGCCTCCACAGTACGTCCTTTACAAACGCTTCAAGAGTGCTCCCATCCGTGACAATGATCTCTCTTGCTCTAGCCAGCACCATCGCGTCCAGCAATGGTATCAAAAACCCCTTTAACGGGACCTAGTCATATGGATTGATCAATTCGTCGAGGCGGGATGTAAAGCCAGAAAGGGAGAATATACACGAGAAGGTTTGGAGGTAAATCGAAAGCGGTGGGTCGGCTGCAGGATTTGCGGAGTGGGTAGCGATGTAAAGAGGGGCATTTGATCTTTGCAACGGTGGGGAGGTAAGCAGAGGTGCATGTCATCGGATCTTAGGCTTCAACGTACGTGGAAGAGAAGGCAAAGATGGATGAGGCGCCCCGAGACTCGGTATATCCAGTTGAATAAGCAGCGGATCGGGGTTCTCGTCGAAAGGACTGAGCTGCTGTTCAGTACCAGAGTCTCTTCAAGATATAGTTCACAAACAAGGTGCACGAGTTTCCACTAGATTGTTCTTGCATTGTCAGACCTTTGTTGTTTGAACTGACCGTCCCCGACGCGAAGATGCGCACTGATGTAGACAGCACCTAACGTTCCATGTATCATATCTGCCACGACTCACGAGACAGGCGTGGATTCATAAATGCCATTCCGCCCCTTACATCTCTGCGCACGCTCTTACTCACACCCTGTTTCAGCCTAAGCCTCCACGATCCAAACAACGTTCTAATCTGCATCAATCTCTCGAGTGCCTGAACAAGTGCCAGGATGTGAATGGAATAGAGATACTTGTCCCGCATAGGCAATACATCATCAAACTTGTCCAAGAACCAAACATCGTAAAGGCCCGAGTCTTGCGGCGTCAGTGTCTGCTTCAAATATTTTTATGAGATTTTCTCATATATTGTGCAACTGGGCTTCCGCATGTTCTCCCCTGGTGTTTCTACAGTACTGCTTATCGACAGCGTTGGGTATAAGCAGCCCCTGTTCAGTGGGTTGGTGGATGAGCTTTGCTTCTGTCTAGATATTTGTTGCGATGCGGCGCTTACTGAGGTGTGGTGCAGGAGTTAAAGAACATGGGCGCTTGAAGGTCCGGGTCGAGTCCGCAACAGTCGTGAACATTAATATTCGAATACACCGTGAAGTCGTCGAGCAACGAGAGTAGACAAAAACGAAAGCCAAAACAAGATAGCATGTAAGTACGTGATAGACGAATGTAACAGGCTAAGTCAGTAGCAACAACTTGAAGTACATTGGGGACGAAAAAGAACGCGATACAAAGAACACGTGAAACCGTATCAGATGAAGCAATATAGCAGGAACTATACACCGATATGAACGAAAACCATCCTCTGCTCAAGCGGGACTTTCGTCTTCACAGCGTGCGTAGCACGGTTGAGTGCCCAGGCCGCCTTCGTACAGTCCATGACGCCACCCTCCTCTAAACCATCGAACAAATTCTCGTAGAATGCTTTGACGACGTGTTTTGCGACAGAATCATCGACCTCCCACAGCGTGCCAATGATGCTCTTGAACCCCGAAAACTGGAGACCAGCTGCGAGATGAATCACTTCGTCGGGCGTCTCCTTATCGCCAACAGCAGTGTGACAAGCGGACAAGAACGCAAACTCAGCATGCGGGACATGTTTCTCCATGATATCGAGCAGCGTCAGATGTTCGTCTCTCATGACGAAGTGGGAATTGTAAGGCTGCACAGGGTCCTGCTTGCCATGACAAGCGAGGTGCACCCAAGTGTTCTCTTCTAAAGCTTTGAGTGCACCTGCTCGTGTGGCTGCGTCACCAGAAATAGTGCTACGGTTGGCAATCGCAGGGACGAGCTTATTGACAAGCTCGAGCTCGCTATCGACAGCCAAGAGCGCCTTGCCTTTCCCCGTACCCGGTTGACCCTGTCCGATTGTCACGAAGGACGGAGTGATGCGCTTCTTCATCATCTGTCTAGATCTAACGAGAGCCGAAAGTGTCGGCGTGTAAGAGCAGATGTAGAGGTCCTCCAGGCATGGCTCTTTAGAGCGATCTGCCCTTGTTTGAAAGGGGTGAGCTGCATGGAGAGGAATAGATGTGAAAGCTGCAGTTGGACACAGCCAGATTCGAGAGCCATGCTTTAGCTTAAAGACATGCTCCAGTACGTTTACGATGGGTAGCATGATCTCTTCCCATACTGTCCTCAAGAGGACTATTAGATCGTTCCGAGGCAACTTTGGGCCCATGATAGATGCGTGTCGTATGGCCCTGGCGAAGCGATCCTTCAGATTATTCAGATCTGTGAGAGTGACAGACGGTAAGGGAATATGATGGGGTTCTCCTGACGTCGGAATAATGATGGCGCTGCGCGAATATTGACTGGCAATAAGGATGATGACAGGGCCTTGGCGTGCTGCCGCTTGCAAGTCTTCGTATGAAGGCGGGAGCAGGAAGCGCGAGAACGCTTTAAGATCACGGATTTCAGTCACTGCAGCATCCCATTGTCTTGTGAGTCTCCGATATTCTGTTGCAGCTTGATCAGCCACAGCTGGGTCAGCGCTGCCTGCAGAACCCTGAGCATGAGATAGGCGCTTGTTGAGCTCCAAGATCTTTTGAGCTAGTTGCAGACTCGCAGATGTCAGGTCTTCCAGTGGAGTCCTGAGTTGAGAGGCCAGCGACCACTGCTGGCCATGGCCCTGCTCCACAAGTTCAACTGCCTGCCGTAGATTGTGACGACGTATGGCACATGAGGCCGCATCTACAGGGAGTGCTTGTGCACCACGAAAAGCGGTTGCAGCCTCACGCCGTGAGATGATCGACGATCGCGTCATCACGTGGCTGTCGAAAAGCTCGAAGCACATCTGGTATGCTTCGAGGGAAGAGTCGTGTTGATGATTCTCGGCTTCAGTAACCCAGCACAAGGCAGTTTGAATACGATTTGGAAAGCCTTGAGTACGGTGTCCCGATGCGAGTCTGAAGTTCTCTATAGCGAGTGACAGATCAGCGGGATTGTGTAGGATCTGGTAATGAGACAAATAAATATTCGTCAGCCAGCCATAGCTGAAATACCTGTCCGGGTGCAGTGAAGACAGAGCTGCCAATGACTCTCGGCAAAGATTAATCGCCTCCTCGATATCTTCATTCTCCCGAGTTTCCGTGAAAAGAGAGCAGAGTGCCGAGCTCAGATTGTGAAGAGTTCTATGGCGTTGTGGATGGTCATGCCGCTTTAACCGAAGGGATTCGCGATACCGATCAATGGCCTCGTTAAGATCCTCAATGACATGCAATTTGTGGTATCTGGCGTCGAGCGCAAGGGCAAGGTTGTTAAGCATGGTATCACGACGTGGATGCCCAGGTGGGCACAATGTCAGTGCCTCGCGATGGAGGCTGATAGCTCCGGTGATGTCATCAATGTTGCCGCGTTTGTTGAAACGGCTGATGAGGACGAGCCCTAGGTTGTCTAATGAGGTATCACGAGACTCGTGCCCAACAGGGCACAGGCGCAGTGTTTCTTCGTACAAAGAGACGGTCTCATTGAGGTCATTAGGTTTGCCTTGATGATCGAAGCGGCATTCGAGTGAGAAGGCCAAGTTGTGCAGGTAGTAAGCACGGTCAGTATGTCCCTCGGGGCATAGAAACACGGCCTCACGACCAAGCCGTATGCTCGTATCAAGATCATCAATACTGCCGTGTTGTCGAAAGTGTGATCTGAGAACCCACACAAGCTTGTAAAGTGCTCTGGGACGGTGTTGATGGCCCAGAGGACAGAGCTCGACGACCACTCGTTGAAGGTGGATGCCTTCATCAGATGCGTCTTCTGGAAGATTGTTGCATCCGTTGATCACATAATCGACACCATTTGCCCCTGCCGCGATGGTACAAAGGTGTGTGCCCTCTGGACAGAGAGGCAGTAGCTCATGATAGAGTTTGGCGGATTCGCAAATGTCGGCAGCAGTACTTTTCTTGATGTAGCGCCAAGTCAGCGCTTCGGTGAGATTATATAGAGATAATGGATGATCCGGATGGCACTGCGGACGCAATGCAAGGACCTCGCGGAACAGCGAAGTGGGGGTATCAATATCTTCAAAATCGTTGCGAATATACCCCTGAAGGCGCGCATACGCAAGGTTGGTGAGGGCTGTTGCGTGATCGGGATGGCTGACGGGACACTGGTCTAGAACCAACTGAAAATGCTGCACTGCATCGTTCAGGTGAGAGACCGTCTCGCTCGTCACGTATGCGGCAAATTGTGCGTGGCCCGCATCTGTGTCTCGAGCGATCTCGCAGTCTATGAGGGACTACGATTGGCGAACCGTCAGCAAAGCTAACAGTAGAGACCAGTGTCACTTACATCAAACAGTGCGCCCTCCTGATCGTCGCAAGCATGTACAATGGTGGCCCTCAGCGTGAGGGAAGGGTGGACACCACGAACGGGTGGGAAGGACAAAACTACGAGATGTTGGTATACGTGCATGAATGAGGAGAAAATGACTCACCGAAAGGTTCATCTCCATGATCGAGTAGCTCGTCCCACGACGTTTGAAGTTTCCCAATGACCTCTCCGCTGCCTAGCATTCGACCGGCCTCATAGGATGTCCTGATCTCTATTAATAATGCAGGTGAGGTATGGGATGATCTAGAAACAGAAGATCAGCTCCCGCATCGCATCGGAAAGTCTCCATGGACTTTACAGAGTCACAGTGTCGCCCCACGCTGCAGATTCCTCAGATGATAACACACTGATGGCCGATTTCCAGCGTCTATGGGAATCGACATTGATGGATATGTAAATGCCTGCGGGAACGCGCTCGGATGGGACTTGAAGATTTTTTCCGCTGATGACTGTGAAAAGAGTGTGAGGATCGCGAAATGGATGCAAATGTGATATGGAGCGACCCACCTTCAAGTCTGATGTATCGGCTTTCCAAGCTACTAGGCATGGTGGTGTGATGAAGAGGATTGAGGATCGACTGAGTGGTTGGCGGAATGGGTGAGAGGGAAGGACGAGGGTAGGGATATAGGGACTGTGGCTAGATGAAGTTCGGCTGAGGCTGAGAAGAGGTTGAGGGTTCAGGCTATGCTACACGTGTATTTCCATGTGGTCGATCACAGTTCGGCACGATAGACGCTGATACGTTGCACCATAAGCGCTGAAAATGGAGATCACTCAGTAGGATTAGCGGAAGAATCTGTGCTAGAGAAGTATAGACAAAGTCATGATCAGTCTTCGGCGAAAGTGGCCCACACAAGTTGAAGGGGACGCACCTTGGACCCGCACCAAGTGGCACCCCTACAAGGACCCCAAAAACCAAAACTTCAACATCGCGCCTACCAGCATCGAAGGCGTCAACAACGCCTTTACAGTCTCTTTTCTTTCTTTCCTTTCCTCTAACAGTCTTCATACTCGTACTATACACTCTCAAAGAAACACAAAAAACATAAAGTAAAAATGGCACTAACACCGCAAAACCTATCCAAAAACACTAACCATTCTCCTGCACTGCTGGTGCCCACTACTATCACTGGTGGGGTTTTTCCCAATGGGTATTGGGTTTCAAAATTCGCTGATCATCATATCGCGAGCTGCACACTGCATAAAAATATTCTGTGATTTTAGCCAGTGTTCTCTAGTGTCTATAGAATACATCTGTGAAGATCCCATAGAAAACATTGAGGAGTTGTGTTCACAATAAATCATACATTGACATATGTCACACCACTGAGTGTTAATAATGGTAATGCTACAATCTGTATACTTCATCAAACAGGAAAAAAACCAAGGGAAAACAATCTCTGTGCCTATACAAATGATACTTATGACTGTGATTTCTATATTGTGATTGAATGAGGGCAGAACTGTGTTATCAGTGAAGTTGTTGAAAGAGTGTATGCTGCACTGTGACTCTAGTCAGCATTGATTATAATCTCCACTCGAAAACTGTACACTGAGTAAGACTGACAGGGGAGGTGTATTTTATAGCAGCCTCCAGATGGGCCAGGTCAAGGGGTCGGGTTGGGTCCGGCCCTCCAAGAAGACTTTGGATACATCTGGAGAGTGCATGTCTGCTGCTCTCGCTTATCTTCATGAAAATGTTGCTGGCAAAGTAAATTATTCTGCCACTGCTCGAAAATTTAATGTCAAGATGGACACTCTGTGAAATTGCTTTCTGGGAAAGCATAAATCTGCATTAGTTGCCCACCAGCAAGAAACCCTCAGACCATTGGGTCAAGGCATTCATGTCTTGACACAAAGATGCAGTGAAGTTCTGTGGCATGTCTGGCTTGGACCCCAAGCATGCTCAGGCATTTAACCCCACAAATATTGCAGACCACTTCAAGCAGTTGGGTGATGCCATCTCCAAGTATAAGTACTGCATTATTTTAAATTTTGATGAAACCAGAATGCAGCAAGGAGGCGGGCAAAAGAGGATGGGGAAGAAACACTTCATTGGTCAGCATTCCCATGCATGGTATCAAAAACGAGATGCGAATCTAGAGCTACTTACCATTGTCAAATGTGCCTGCAATGATGGCACAATGCTTGACCCAGGATTCTTATTTCAGGGGAAAACTTGGGATGAAGACTGGTTTAGCAAGCACAAAGGAATCTCATGAGTCACTGAACTCATGCACACATCATTGTGATTTAAGTTTCATTGGTTAAGTGTTGGCCTCATGCAAAATGGCTGGACAGATAACTTTCAATGTCATCAGTGGTTTTGTGATGTACTCATTCCACAAGCTTGTGCCAAAGCATTAGATGAAGATGAAGCAATTCTAGCCACATTTGACAGACATGGTTCCCATCTTACAGATGAGCTGGTAGAAGAGGCTTTGAAATCCAATATTCATCTTCACGTGTTGCCATCACATACCTCAAATAAGACTCAGCCACTTGACATTGGTGTCTTTGGCCCTTTGCAGAAGAAGTGGATAGACCACATGGAGCAGATTGTTGAGGAAATGGGAGAGGGCCTTCCAAAGCATGAGTTTGTGAATGAGTACATGGCAGTTCGGGAACAAGCAATCACACTGGAGATCATCAAGGTGGCATTCAGGAAGACAGGAATTTGGCCAATTAACCCAGATGTCTTTGCTGTGGATGAATTTTCGCTGAGCCACATGACATCAACACAAGTGCACATGCCACCATCATTCCCACCTCCCAATCCAGACTTAATTTCAACTGCACCAACCTCATTATCACCATCAAAAATCTCACACTCCATAGACTAAAATTTTGTTGTACCTTCTAGTGACTCATCCATGTCATCCATACCCATCCCTGTGCTCTCCCCTGAGCCAGATGCAATGCAGATTGATCCACAACTTCTGGATGAGAGTCACATCACACAGTGGAATGATCCTGATGATGCTGAACCCATTGCACGTTCATCTCAAGATGTATGTCCTACTAAAAGCCAGGTTTGCCAACCACCTACACCTGCCTCACCCACACTACCTTCATTGTGATCATATAAGTCACACTTGACAGGACCAAAGGCTCCTCAGTTTTTGCACACACTTGTGCACAAACAATGGTCCACTGCCAGGCAGCATAAAGTTCTTCAAGCTGACCTTCAGTGCCTCGAAGTGTTGTATCTTGCTGAATTTCAAAAGCAGCAGGAACTCGAGGTTCATTGTGAACTCTCTTGGCAAGAGAACGAGAAGCTGAAAGTGCAGCTCAACAGATGAGTTAAAAAGGCAGATGGACACAAGGGCAAGCAGATGCAAGCTGGTGGTGGTGTTTTCCTCATGTCTGAGGATGCTCTGAAGTTGTTTGAACAGAGGAAGTGTGAGAAGGTGGAGAAAGAAGAAGCAGAGCAACTTAAGCAGGTTGAGAAGGAACATGAAGAAACGGCTTTAGCTGATTGGTGTGCACAGCTTGCTGTGAATCTTGATGTATGGTTTAGTGGGTGGCTTACCTCAAAGAAGAAACAAGACCTGCAAGACATTGCTTTCATTCTTGCTCTGTCTACCTCTGGCACAAAATCAGAGCTTATCGCTACCATTGTTAATCACCTCAGCTGGTCTGTGTACTTGCAATCAGATGCCCAATTTTCAAAACTTTTTATTCCACAAAATCTCAGGGACTTGGACATGCATGATAGTCAACAACAGGCAGCTATTGAGGAAGAAAATCTGCTGCCATCATGGCCTGTTGCATCAACGTCTTCTCACATGCTTGATGACAATGAACATGATCCTCCACTTGTGCTCGGTGCACATCCTCTTCTGCATTTGGCAAGCCATCTCCCACTCGCATCTGCAATTAATACACCTTATCACAAACATCCTCACCTCAAATCATTTCAAGCTCAACATGATCCCTTTTATTATCCACCTTATTATCACTCACCAGCACAATTACCTGGACTGTGAGTTTAATCCTCATTGGTATATATCCTACATCCAGTCTTTGATTGTACACTTTTATGAACATACTCACTTTCATTCTATTACTATCATATCCTTTCCACTTAATGCACTTAGATTTACTTACTGTGAATAGCTGGTCTATATAATGTACATGCATGAATCCATACAATCTTTGATTTCCTTCCAACACTCATTCAGATATTGAGATTCAAAATTCTGCCAAGCATGCCATTGCAGAGTTATAAAACTCCAGTGTGACATTGTGGTGACAAATTTTGAAACAGCATAGCCAGTCCCTGCCAAATTGACATTGCACAACCAGATTCCTTCTGCTGCTCAAACATCATCACAAAAAAATCAGATTTCACCTGGGTGTGATAGAGCACAATATTTCCCACAGGTCTGTCAAGAAGTGGGAAAAAAAAACCTCTTGACGAGTGTGCTATGCATCAAACATTGAAAACCTTTGAAAAACCCCACCAGTGATAGTAGAGGGTGCAAAACAACTGCTAGCAAACCTCTGTTATCAACATCAGTAAATTCACACATTGCTTAACTTCCTTTTTTGCAACTTGCTGCTGGCTAATTTCCCAAAAAGGAGCAGTTAAGTCCCTTGCAAGAATGGTGACACCAACTTACTGTAAACCTGCCACAAGGCAATTTTAAGTTGAAAAAGCAGATGCCTCCTCTTGACCATGACTTATTTCAATCTTTTCTAGCTTTTTGGGCAATTATTTTTAACAGTAGCACTTATTTCTCTGTTGCATAGTACAAATTGTTGATTCTTATTTCACTTATTTCACACTTTTAATATAAAAATAACCACAAAAACAGTTGCATTTCATAAATAAAGCAAGGGAAAGAGTATGTGAGTACTAGTAAGTAGTGAAAGATAGACATCAAGCAAGAACACACACAAGAGATTCAATTTACTATGCGCCTCTAGTAGTAGTAGGCCATGGGGATGCTGGGTACTAGTGACAGAAAACCAGTGAATGACTCTACAAAATACAAACTGTCAGTTGTAGAATAGTAGGTGAATAATAAAATGGTACTACCAGTCATTGTAGATGAGTGTGTGCTCATCGTCGGAATCCTCGTCCAGAATGATGGGTGCACCATGCCTCTTCACAGCGATTTCTTTTGTGCATTCCCAGATGTCTTGGAGGACTGACTCTTGGAGCCAGTTGATGGACTTCATGTAGCCTCTGGTCACCTTGCTGTAGTTGGTGTCTGAAAAGGCCCTGAGAGCACTACTAGGCTTGCCTGTGACTTTGTTCAAGCTGTGGGGGACCTTGATGGCCTTCCCTTTACTGTTGAATTTCAGTTCACTGATGTGCATGTCCCTGCTGATGATATCGAGGGCGTGTTCCATCTGAAACATGAGAAATAAGTCAGTTGTGGTTTGACAAGAGAGCAAATATACATGCTGCTGCAGTGGCAAGGCTCAGAGCTCCCTTCACATATGTGGTCTTCCTGCAGTTGTCAATAGTGCCCAAAGTAGTGCACCTATGCTGCATGAGAACCTGAACCTGAATGAGAAGTTCAGACTGAAAGGGTTGTTTGTATTTGCCATCCTCCATGATGGTGCCATACAAGAATCCTAGCTTGAGATGTAAGTTTTTCACAAAATCTTTGTGATCCTCATCAGTCTTGATGTTGTCCTGCATTGACATGAAGGGTGTAAGTACTGAGATGGCAGTAGTGCCAATGCCATTGTGCCACTCTGATAGCCACTGGGTAGCCTAATAATAAAATAAAACACAATCAGATATGAATTGCATCAACAATCACTTACTAGAGCCATAACTGGCCCATTGGTTGTGACCGTGTGAGGTATATCTCTGTAAACTGCATCCCAGGTGTCCTGCATGGTAGCACAAAATGTCGTCTCCAACTTGAGTCAACCCCAGACTTCATCTTGATCTCCAATGGCAGCAATGAGAGTAGGAATGAACACAGCACTCCACCTAGTGACTGCCCAAGAACCTGTCATATGCCATTCTGGACCCTCAACTCTAAATCTGCTTGTCCAGATATCCAGATCTCCAATGATCTGATCTATCTTTATCTTCCTTCTGGAATCCAAACTCTATATCAGCGCCCAACCCCATTTAGACTTCCCCTGTCTCTGGACTCCAGTTAACTATGTTTCCCTTCTGATTATTGATCTGTTACATACATTTCATTTCCAATATGCATTATTGGTGATCTGTCTTACTTACTAATAGACTTTGCATATGCTTCGTACATAGCCTTTGCGTTTGCTGACTGATTCCTATATGATACCTACAGTATATAAACCTCTTGTAACTCTCGGAAATACTTCAGTTTGAATATCATCTTAGTTCCTGCTCATGCCTGTGTCCTCCGGACTCGAGCCAAGTCTCTTGTCACATTCTGAGTCTGGGGATTGTATCCTAGACTACATCTCTGGCTCTACCTTAGGGTAGTCTATCCTCTGTTATTTTCTAGTCTGGACTTTGTCCAGATTAGCCTTATCTGCTTGTCCAAGTAATATCTGGACGTCCATCAGATTTATCTCATGTTTCAGATCTGGACGTCCATTGTCTGCCCTAGTCAAATCCTGGACACTCTGGACAACTATTCTAGCCCCTGGAAATTAAGGGCACATACTCGGGAAAGGGGCACAGCATACAAGCTGAGGCCAAGCCCTTGTGATCCGACCCCCTTGAGCATGCAACCTTAACAGAACCTCCAGGAAGGTTTTTGATCCTGTAAGCAGAACAAGGGAGGATCTCCACTTCTACAGGACCCAATGCAGCACCAGAACTAGCACTTGAGATGCTGGAAAGACTACAAGTATGCATGATGGAAGACTTTGTCCACTTTGTCACAGGAGCTTTGTGTTTGACACCAATGTTAGTCTGCATTATGTGTAGTCAGTATAATTTAAATATTAATCATGAAAGCATACTACCATGGATGTGACCCACAGAGATACTGATTTGGATTTGATCTTGACAATGGGCTTGATGTGACTCATGAACTCAACTTCAGACAAGAGTGAATCTTCCTCAATCATGGAGGCACAATCATTAATGAAATCATCACTGACCATGATGTTGTCCTCAAAGGGGACATCCTTGAGCAGGGCATCCTCAATTGTGTTGTCCTCAATTGTGTCATTGTCAGTCAGGTCATCCTCTATGTCTGCGAGTTTGTGCTTGACACTTGTTAACAGAGTCATAGGGTAGGATGCTGGTGTTCAATTGAGAGCTGCAGCTTGGTGGATGTCATCATCATAATATCCTGTGTAGAAGGAGGAAGTTCAAGATCAGATTCCATGTCAGTGTCGGATGCGTAGTTGACAAGGGACACTACTTCTGGGCGAGCCACCTCAACATCCATATCACCATTATTGTCAGTGACAGTGTCAGGCTGAAGTGTGTTGAGCTGTTTGGGGGCCAGGTTGGTGTTGTGATGGGCTAAGTTTGTTTGAATTGAAGTGTTAGGGACCATAGAAGAAATCTTGATGCCCTGGTAACATAGTTAATGTTGACACATCAAGAAAAGAATTAAATAAATGAACTCACATGAGTGGCCCACTTTTGTTTGGACATACAGGCAAGGGCCTGAGAGCGCTCAACTGATTCATCTAAATCATCATCTGCAAACAGAGTCATGAAATGATCTGTCATGCTATCAGCCCCAGCACCAGTGATGGTATTGATGGGTGTGAGTGGGGCACCACCACTACTAACAGTACTCCCCCTAGTGAGTTTAGAGGAGGGAGCAATACTAGAGAAGGCAGAAGGCATGGTGGATGGTCATCTGTCCTTCAAGGCAGTGGTGTCGGAGGAAGGCTTTGCAGGGATGCTCGACTTCCAATGCAAAATATGCCCAGAAGCAACACTGAATTTTGTAGGACCTGCTGTAGAGCTATTGTCACCATGAAGCATTAAATTGAAAAAGAAAAGAGCCATCTCGGTCAGATGGTGCATTATGGTTGAGAAGTAAGCTCCTTACACATCATCAAACTTCTTATTGTTGTCACATGGCATTGTTGATTCATCAATAAGACCAGTTGCTTCAATTGCATCTCTCATTGGCATCTTCACTGGTAACACCATCCTCTTCCCCTTCTTTTTGTGTGCTCCAGGCACTCGCACCTCCTGCTCCTCATCCTCTGTATCACTCTCAGGATGTTCGACATTAGCACTGGCTGCTGATTTATCTCCAGCCCTACCACCCTTGCCTTTAGCACTAATGGCCTTATCCTCGGCCATAGTCAAGTTAGAGGTCTCCATGGGTTCAGCATGCATCAGCATGTATAGCAGCTTGGTCTGTCTGAATTTTTTTCTGAAATGCAGCAACATGCTTATGTCCTTCTTGTGTAGCCATTTCACTTGCCTGTTTTTCCTCTTTTTCACACTTGTCATCAGTGGCCTTTTGAGCTTTGGTACATCTTTTGGTATAGCCTTCGGCCTCAGTCAGAATATGTCCTGGATGCTGAGTTGCATTTTTAGGACAAGTCATCATGCATTTCAGAACTGTGCTCGCAGGCTCAGACATGGTATCAATGGGGGGGGTCTGGAAGGCTGAAGAAAGAGACAACAGTGGCAGTTGGCAACAAGGTGAGTTCCATCACAATTTTCCAAAAATTGTAGCCTAAGCTGATTCTGACCAAATGACCTAGTTGTGACCTGACATACCTACTAATATATTGGTGTGATCTGTTGCAGTTGCTGTGGAACCTCGATTTCTACTAACATTTTTTCCAGAATATTATCAATGCAACTCTTTGCCTCAGGCTGCAAAATATCAATGTTTACCAAGACCTTTCTGGTGAGATAGTCTACTAACACTTCCTGCACCATCATCATTTTAGTTTTCATTTGTGGGTGCAAGGAGACCAAGGTTCACCACCCATATCCAGTGTGGCTTGAACATCAATGTTTACCAAAACCTGTCTGGTGAGGAGATAGCTAACACTTCCCGCACCATTAGTATTTTTATTTTTATTCACTGGTGCAGGGAGGCCAAGGTTCACCACCAGTTTCAACATTAATGTTTACCAAAGCCTTTTCAGTACTAGGTGCAAGGAGACCGAGGTTACCACCAATCTTCCATTGTGGCTTTGACATCAACATTTACTAAAACCTGTCTGGTGAGGAGATAGCTGATACTTCCCACACCTTTAGTATATTAATTTTTGCTTGCAGGTGCAGGGAGATGGAGGTTAACCATTGCTTTTCCAGCTTCAACATCAATGCTTACCAAAGCCTTTTTGGTACTTTTTGCTTGCATCCCACATCTAGCTTTCATTTTAGCATTAAAGTTTACCTTGGCTGTGCTAATGTGGTGATTACAACTGCACCCCAAACCTTGAATGTTTTGGCCCTCAAAATACTCGATTGTCAACAGCAACATCCCAGCATAGCACATATGCCTTCCCATCATGCTCACCACCTGCTTCAGCTTCCATGTCCTGTTCCAGGATGCCTGCATTGGTTTTGAAACCAGTCAGGTCTTACCCAACACAGGCACTCGCTTCACCCTACTTCAGGACTGTCCCTTTGGGACATCCCATCACCACCCCAGTCACCACTTCCCTTGCCATCCTGGTGTGGATAACACAACTTGGCTAGATAGTTGTTAGAATACCTAGCCAATATATGTCTACTAGTCCTGCCTAGCTGCTACACTTGCAAGCAAGAATGTTTGACCCAAGGGATCTGCTGTCTAGTCAAGTTCAATAATCAGTACTACACAAAGGGTCAAAAGTCCGAAGGTCAGAGATCAAGTCTGAAGGTATGGGATGGAGTCTGATGTGTGGGAAATCAGGTCCACAGGTGCAGAGATGTGGAGATGGCAGGAGAGTAAGGGAAAGGGAGGGAATGTGTCAGGACTAGCTTGGAGATGTCAAGGAAGGTCAAGTGAATGAGTGATGCTCGTGTTGGGTCAAGGAGAGTGGGTAAACAGTGATATTGCAAGGGTAACTCTAAAGACAGGTATGGGGTGACCAGTATCAGGGATTTCTCCCTCCTACTAAGTGGTGATTGTAATTTTGGTCACCCAACCCTATATAACTACAGTGGCTCAAAAAACTGTCCGCATGTTTTGATATTTTTCACTATCTATGATATTGTGTGAGAACGAACAAATGCGTCAAGGACATGGTTATACCACATTGTAGTATGGCTTCAGGGCTTTCATTTGAGCGCTACACCGTGGGAATCGGTGGAGATATGGTGGAGATACAAGGCTTACAAAATCATGACTCATGCGGACAGTTTTTTGAGCACATATTAAAACTATATAAATCATCATTTATGACACCATAACAATCATGCCACCATTAAATAAATTATAAAGTGGTGTCATTATGTCATTTTAAAACCATATCTAACTATACAAACCAAAAATTTCCATATGTCATGGTTATATTCACCATGAAAGCCACCCCCCCTGCTCAAAGGGATAATATCCTCTCTCTTTCCTATTCTGGCCTCTCTGCTTGTCAAATTTCCTCTAGAACTGGAGTATCCAAGTCCACTGTGGCCAAGTTCATCAAAGAAAGTCACACAGACAAGGAAAACTTCTGTGAAGGGCATCCATCCAAGCTCACCTTTACTGATAGGAGGGCTATTATTCAACATATCACTACAGGAAAGGCTGATAATGCTGTCCAGGTCACCTATTACATCAATTCCACCATCACATTCCCTGTCTCTTCACACACTGTGAGAAACATTCTCAAGACAGCTCATCTCAGGTCAGTAATAAGGAAGAAAAGGCTCTCCTCTCTATCACACATATGCAGAGATGACTAACCTTTGCCTTAGCCCATCAGAATTGGATTACATGGACTGGAAGCATGTTATATGATCATATAAGACCACAATAAATAGGATTGGGTCAGATGGCAAGGTATATATGTGAAAACAGAAAGGTGCTAGCCCTCTCTGCATATGTGTGATAGAGAGGAGAGCCTTTTCTTCCTTATTACTGACCTGAGATGAGCTGTCTTGAGAATGTTTCTCACAGTGTGTGAAGAGACAGGGAATGTGATGGTGGAATTGATGTAATAGGTGACCTGGACAGCATTATCAGCCTTTCCTGTAGTGATATGTTGAATAATAGCCCTCCTATCAGTAAAGGTGAGCTTGGATGGATGCCCTTCACAGAAGTTTTCCTTGTCTGTGTGACTTTCTTTGATGAACTTGGCCACAGTGGACTTGGATACTCCAGTTCTAGAGGAAATTTGACAAGCAGAGAGGCCAGAATAGGAAAGAGAGAGGATATTATCCCTTTGAGCAGGGGGGGTGGCTTTCATGGTGAATATAACCATGACATATGGAAATTTTTGGTTTGTATAGTTAGATATGGTTTTAAAATGACATAATGACACCACTTTATAATTTATTTAATGGTGGCATGATTGTTATGGTGTCATAAATGATGATTTATATAGTTTTAATATGTGCTCAAAAAACTGTCCGCATGAGTCATGATTTTGTAAGCCTTGTATCTCCACCATATCTCCACCGATTCCCACGGTGTAGCGCTCAAATGAAAGCCCTGAAGCCATACTACAATGTGGTATAACCATGTCCTTGACGCATTTGTTCGTTCTCACACAATATCATAGATAGTGAAAAATATCAAAACATGTGGACAGTTTTTTGAGCCACTGTAGCTATGTGAAAGTCTGACAATCATGTTCATGCTGGCCTGCTAGGACCCCATTCTGCGATCCCCATCCAGTCTGCACATCTCCTACCCATCTCTGATGCTTTCCCACCATCTCCATATCTCTGATCCATTGGACCCGCTTGAAGATCCCGTGCACTTGCCCTACCATGTCCAGTCCAGTCCTGCTTAACCCCACTGGTGCATAGTCAGTTATTTCCCATTACTGATTGAGTAGACAGCATTATTACATGGATTCCCACTGGCCGCAGTACCTCATGGTGTTACAAACTAGGGTAGTTCTAACAACAGATGACTCGATAAGAGTCAAGGACCTCTGTTGAGATTCTATGCAAGACAATAAGTCAAGTGTTTGGTGTGCACTAAGTTAAAGGGAGTGCCTTTAACTTAAGATACGATTCAGACGACAAGAGATTGGAGGTCTCAAGCAAAGGATATTCAGGGTAAAACCTAGTAAGATTAAAGTAAAGAACTAAAGCGTACAGGAGACCTATTTATAGTGAACTACTGTGCTTTAGGGCAGGCATGAGAATAGACAGAGTTGGGATAAGAGACATGTAAGTGATAGCAAGAATAGGTCATCTAGCAACAGCAATGGCAGTTGTGATGTAATACAAAGCATGAGTCAGAGATAAGTCTAGTGGCGGCAACATGCGGCTTGTGACATAATACACAGTAATAAGGGAGAAATGAATAGGGGCATACATGGTTGTAACATTACCCCTCATTTAGAGACAAAGTCACCGACTTTAGCTATCCTGGTTAGCCCAGTAGATAGGATCAGCGTCATAGTTAGAATCCAGCAAGTTGTTTTGCTCCTCTGTAATGGTATATGATTTATCAGCCATCTTGGTGGCATGATAAATAGCATCCTGCTCGATCTCCCAATGAGTGAGGGCTTCATAGAAACCAGTGTCAGTCCAAACCAGTGGAATGACTGCTTCACCTTTTAAGTCTTTACAAAAGACCAATAGATGTCTGGGTGCATACTCTTTGCAAACCCGGCAATAATACACTGGGCAGTTCTTATGACGATGCCTGGCAATGTGACAGTTGCAACATACTACGTTGTCGACGGTTGCCATCTTTATGGTGGTGACAGTGGATGATTGCACAGGTGGAGATGGGGATCTAGATCATCATTTATGGTTTCTGTGTGGGGAAGCTGACGCGATTTGCTTGGTGATGTGGGCGGATCTATGCCTGATGGGGTACCGACATGTAGTGGGTGCGATGGGGGTAGGAGATGGAGAAGCTGGTATGTCAAGTACAGCAATAGGAGGGATATTATCATCCGAATGCTCAGCAGTAGCTATCAGAAGAACTGGTGGTGGGATTGGAATGGCAATATGTGGAGATGGGGGTCGTGCAACTGGGTTTGTAGCGATCCATTCAGTGATGATGTGGATAGCTTCTCTGATAGCTTCCTTAGTATCATCAGGCAACAGATGGATTGCAGTATTATGAATGCATATATGAAGGTGGTGGAAGATGGTCTTGTGACGGTCATCATTGAGAAGATTAGCGGTGCATTCAATTAGGCTAGCATCTCTGATGATTCAGATAATAAGTC